CCATGGTGAGGTGCCAGCCGCTCTGCGCAACCTACAGACCCCTGCACATCCCTAATGGTGACGAGGGTGAGCCTGGAGGCAGCCCCAGCGCCTCCCCAGGCCCCACGGGCTTGCGGCGCATCCTCCTTGCACATTTGTTTGGCACCAAGGGCACTCAGAGCAGATACCAGCATCCCCGCAAACTGGAAAGCCAGGAAGAAAAATGGAGCCTAGGCTCAAGGGGACGCTGAGACTGATTTACAAGGGAAGATTAAAAGAGCTAAATCTGTGCTGCTCGGCTAAATAGCGGCTTCAGGGGGAGGGCAGCGTAACGAGCTACAGGCGTCTCGGGGATGCCACGGCGCGCTGGCCCGTCCGTCTCCTGGGGACGCCCCGCGCAGGGTGATGCGTGCGGCTCGTCAGCGAGACGCTCCACCGTAGCGGCTCCGCACCGTGCGCCCCAGGGCACCCGGGGCACGCGATGGGACGGGGGTCCCGGTGCTTCCGCCCACACCACCCCGCTCCCGTCAGGAACAAGCCCACGGTGGCCAGCACGTTCCAGGAGATGCAAGTCCTCCACCTGCTCAGTCTGCTAAACAGCAAAGTGGTTTCCTTGTCCTAAAGGGCTAAAACCAGGAATTTCACGAGGCTGTTAATTACTTCCCGCTAATTAAATCAAAATTAAATGTGAACAGAGGTGCATATTCCTTATTAAAACCGATTAAACAGAAAGCACCGATACACAAATAAAAAATGACTCTGGGGCTGAAAAAGAAAGCAAATCAAACAAAAACTAGCCCATAATAAAGGCGCACTCTGTTTGCTCCAACTCATAAAGCTTGAGTTCATCAATTTTCTTTAAATATTAGCAACTTAATTAAATCTGCTTTTTTTCCCTTTAATCCTCTCTTCTATCTAAAATAGATCTGTCCACATGCAGAAGTTTGTAACTAGTGCTGACCCCATAATTCTATTTAAAAAAAAAACCAAAGAAATCCACATCAAACTGACAGCAGCCTCAGGGGAAATTATAGTTCAGAAGAAGGATTAGCTGGAGAGCCCAGATTTTATGGAAATGGTATTGGCTCTTCGAAGAGCACGTGGAGAGGTACGAGAGATGCCGCGGAGGGCAAGACCAGCCAGTGCATTGGGAGCCTCAGACACTGGCAGGACGGTGCAGGATGCTGCAGACACCCCAGTCCAGGTTTGCACAGGATGGCTCAGCACCTCCGGCTCCGCTGCACCAGCAGGGAACATTCCCCACCAGGCCCTGACCTGCTGGGCTGGTGGTTCCTAGCCCTGGAGCTGTATTTACAGGGAATTGCTCTTGGTTATCCTTCCCGGCTGCTGACGCCGTGATTGTGGGGAAGGGACTCGCTGCAGGCACCTGCCTCGCTTCGGAGACGGCCTGTTGCTAAGCTACCTCCAGAGCGTGACGGGGTGGATGCTCCTGGCCACATCTCGGGGGAGCTGTGCATTAGCTGTAACTGCATCCAGCACCACTCAAGCACTGGCTGGAACGGGCACAAAGCACCACTGGAACCAGCCTAGGCCTTGGCCAACAACCCCTGCTTGAGCCTTCTCCAGGCTCGGACAACCCTGAGCCCCTTCAGGCACCACAGACTGAGAATTTTCTGAAGTGCCCTGTGCGGGCCAGGCCAGGATGCAGAAATGCCGCAACACCCGCCTCTGCCACAAGCAGGGACAGGATTTCCTTGTCATGCAGGAGCAAGACACCTGCTCTGCCACCACCTTCTGCGTGGAAGATTGGCAAAGAAACGGCTGCTGTTGTCTGGGGGTTCCAACAGAACCTGTCCCTACAAGCACAATCCTTGAAGGGCTATAAGGGATCTCAGAAGGTGGGATCAACCCAACCAAACCCCAGCAGAGA